GGGGCTGATCCCAGGGCTCCTCAACCCCGGCAGCCTCCAACAACCACTTAATATTCGCATATGCATATGTCAAAGATCTATTACAATGAGAATATCAAAATGCTGAGGGATTAAAATTTGTATAAAAAAAACATCTGGGTCATTTTTAAACAATGAATATTTATAAGAGATTGGTAGAAATTAAGGGCTCCAACTGTCTGCTTGCCAACCTATGACTCCATTTAAGCTTAATACTTTCAATTTTATTCCACATTAAGAGCTTACAAAGGTCAGCTGGGCATTGTGAGACCATGTGATTGGTCATGGTGTGATGATCATGACATTATTACACCTGTTAGCTGACTTGTGTTCGTTGTTCTATTCATTAAACATTTATATATGAAATTTTGATATCTATAAATTGTAAACATTAATTGAAAATAGGAATACAATGTACAAAGAATTGAGCTAGCTGCATTACATTAAGAGTTGCAGGACTATGACTCATTAAAATGCTGTGTAATGCTTCAATGAAATAAAATTCACTTGTAACATGACCAATGACACTCAATTGTATTTAAAACTTTTGATTATAAATACCTGCCAATCTGTACAAGAAGTACTCCTCTATCTGCAGCCAAGTCAATTTGGGAAGGATAATCTTGTGATCTGGTATCAATTGCTGAAATCCAGCAACTGGCCGAACACATCAATGACATCGGGCAGGTCAACATCAGATTGTCTTGCACATTACTCAAAATAACTGTATGCATATTCCTGTGATCAAATAGGTCCTGGCTGTGTTCCAACAAATACACAACTAAATAACGCCGTTTTTACCATATGTAAAACTCTTTTATCTTATGGCAAAACCCCTCAAAGTAAATATTAATCACATTTTGTTGTTAATCCCCTAACATGTTTATAATCATCAATTCTGTGATGGAGGACATAACAAGAAAGAAGACGGTGGGATTGTGCCGCCTTGATCTCAATCATTATTGATAGGAATGGAGATCTCCGCCGATCAAAAAAATAAACGAATATAATAATTATGTATTTCGGACTGTCCCCACACCTTACTTTCACTTTCGATGACACCGACAGTGACAGACGATTAACCGAACAGCTGACGGGTGAAACTGATAGAAAGGCAACAATAAATGCAGCTTTTATTCAGTATGAAATATAATATGTTTTACCTCTCAACTAAATCACATTTTCTGCCATGGGTAGTAGCACTCCGTTTCCTCAATTCAATCTTCAGCTTCTGTACCGACCAGTTCTGAAAACACTCGTCCGCCATCTTGGCATCGGTAGTAACCCCCTAGTACACGCGCGCCCCCTGGTGTCATGATTAACACTATTAGTGTGCTAATGCCCAATGGTTTCTATCTCTCTCTGAACTGAGCATAATTAACGCATAGCATTCTCGAAAATATGGTATCCAACATAAAAGGTATATTACTTAAAATACTTCAATAAATCCCATATATATCATCGGTCTTTCACGTGCATAGATATACACCCACACACAAAAACATTATTATGAACTATTAGTCTTCGTGGTGTAGACGCTTCACTAGCAAAACACGTGCAAAATGCGACACTCCCAGCTGTGTAGTCAACAATGTGAAATTCGATAATTGAACCGTTCTCATGGAAATAATTGGAATTAGTATTAGGGATATTCAAACCCTGCGTCCGTGGTCCGTCCCTAAGCAATTCTTGTTCTCGCTTTTACTCAGGAAGTACCGGAGGGATCTTTGTTAAATTTTGTATGTAGGTTCCCCTTGGTCTCTTATTGTGCGTCTTTACTTTTGAGACTGATCAGATAAACAAACTGGCCGACAGGCAGCCATCTTGGATTTTGACAGTGAATGTTTGTTATGGCTATTTCTCAGGAATACCTTGTCAATAATTACTAGAGAGATCTTTCTCAAATTTAACATGTAGGTTCCACTTGGTCTGTCGTTGTGTATGTTAAATTTTGAGAATGATGATTTATACAAAATGACCGACAGGCAGCCATCTTGTATTTTTACAGTGAAAGTTTGTTATCGCTATTTCTTGGGTAGCACTAAAGGGATCTTTCTCAAATTTTGTATGTGGGTTCCCCTTCGTCCCTCGTTGTGCATGTTTACTTTTTCAACTGATCAGATAAACAAAAAGGCCGACAGGCAGCAAAGGACTAAAAAGATCTTTCTCAAATTTGACATATAGGTTCCATTCGGTATGTAGTTGTGCATATTGTCTTCTGAGACTGATCGGATAAACAAATCTTCGATTTTGACAGTTAAAGTTTGTGACCGCTATCATAGCGATTAGCAACACAGGGTTCAAGGCACAGCTCATTATGCGTCTTTCGGAACAAAAATCGGAATAAGCAATACGGTCATATCATAGATAATGGTCGTCTTTATAACGAAAGTCATTTCTAGTCGTGTTCAACACACAAAAGCATATGTCTATGTCAGTAAACATGGAGTGCCGACAATATGAAATGGATTTGCATGGATAAATTATTTAGGTCTGTCGCTGGCGCATCAATGTCATCAAATTCTGAACTCATTATTTGCATTAAAGTACGCTAGATCACATCGTTGACCTTTATCGATATAATTGCTATGTGTATAAAAGGATTATATCATTATCGTACTGGACACACTTGTTTGATATGTTATCAGATATGTTTGGCTAGAGTCAACATGTAACCCTCTTCTGACTGTGTCTTATAATTGGATCGAATTTTAAATTAGTTGTTTAATGTCAGTCCTGAGGCAATTATAGGTGCCAGTTAGCTGATTTGTAAGAGACATTTTACAGATAAAGGAATTAAAATCAAATAAGGAAAGTTTCATTAGCCATTCGTATGCTATATAGGAGACATTTCTATCGCGTCATTATATATAACAAGTGTTTGTAATGATCATTATATTCTCAATAATGAAAAACGTCTGAAATTGATGTTTGTAGAATGTGACCATCCAAATTGATACGAATGGTCCGTTTTAAATATGACGAATTCTTTTTTTTATTAAAATCGATCCGTATGGTCCCGATATTCACAGAATACTAACGTCATTGGTCGATTGTTTTGTTTAATTTGCTTGGCACGTTTCGTTAATGGTTTGCGTAGTTAAGTTTATCACCCTATCGACATGTACGACACTGTCGGCACGTTCCCTCGTGTGTCGAGTGGTTATACGATAGCGATTGGATTTTTCTTGTTAAACGTCCTATTAACGGCCAAAATCCTTGAAGAGTGCTGTGTCACTGAAATGCCATGCCGAAGACACCCAAAACAATCTTCCATCCGATCACATTAGTGACAACGGTTAAACCATTCTTTTCAACATAATACCCCTGGCTGTTGTGGGGTTGTTAAACACCAGACTAACACTTCAACATCATCATTTCATACCCGCGTCCTGTATCACAAAAGTTCGTTCTGCACTATCGTTTTCATCTTGATCTATTTGTATATAATTAATTTCTCTTTTATGTGTGCTGGAGGCGGTAACTTTATCTCGTATTGGTGTATTTTTGGGTCACATTTTAATTCTACTGCGATATGTAGCGATGGTTTTGAAGTCCTACATAACATGCACCTGGTCTTATTTCTCGATGGATTTTGTGAAGGATCTCTAATAACAATCTCTCTTGTTCTTTGAGAAGGTTACAAGCATTACAAATAGTACCGTTTCTTTTTTGCCAAAAATAACTTAGAAAGGGAAATATTTGTTTCTACCAAAAACATAAACACTATATTCTACAATAATGACTACACAATTTACATTTATAAACATACCGCTTTGAAAGAATCCTTTTGTTTGAAAAAATAGCGTTCTATTTATAGCTAAGGTAAAGCGTGCCTCCCTCCATATGTGTTATATTTGTGTTTTTGCCTCCTTGTGACAGCGCGGATATGAGGACGACATTTGAGTGCTACCTCACTGAAAAACCGTGCCGTTTAAGATATACACTGGTTCAAATATTTTCAGTAAACGAAATGAGGCTCAGATTGTACATTTTGAATTATGCTCATATCACTTCGGGAAAATATGCTTAATTATCATACTCTTAACGGATCATTAACACAAAGGAAATCTTTATGGCCAGTTAATGACCCATGGAAAGATGTCTCTAAGTAATATCAGGTTGTAGAGATATGTTAATGTATTAATTAGAGATTTAAATATTTGTGTCGTTATATAAATATCCTCGTACAGGATCAATATCAATAGAATCTAATAACAAGTGTTTTACTGAAAACGGATCGTGATATGTAATGCATCGAGAGTGGCCTTCACGTGTAAACGAATAAGAATGGATTATGTATGAATGACCTCGTCTCTATAGCTAGGACCCCAGTCAACGATTACAGGTGTTACAGTTTTATAGTTTCTAACTAATACCATTATCCATAGATGTTGTATATCATTATTATTATTTATTATTTCGTATCTATTGTGATCAGTTGACCAGTATGACCCGATAACACCCCTGCCGGTTGGGGATCGAGTATGACCCGATAACCCCCTGCCGGTTGGCGATCGAATATGACCCGATAACACCCCCTCCCCTGACGCTGTAGAAAAGAGAAGGACTCAGATTAGATAATTGATTTCATCTTTTGATTTTAATTCTACAAAGGTAAGATATGTAACGTGTATAGTAACGCATCATTTGATATGACAAAGCAAGAAGGGGATAAAGAATGTCATATTTTCAATAATCAAATAAAATCATGTATCTCTGTACATATATCTAAGAATTAAAAACAAAACAGAGCCCCACAGTCGTCAGAGATATACAAACATTGAGTTTGACGTAGGAATTTTAATTAGGTCAATAAAGATCGTATCTCGTGTTTACGACAAGTTGTAAGGTATCGCTAAGTACGTAAAATATAATCCTCGGAAACGTGTTCCCTGACACGACTGTGGGCGTAAACCAAGGCACCCTGGGTCTTCTGCCTATATAAGGAACGTGTGTGAAATCTTATAACAGAGAGAAAGAAAGGAACTTTACAGATCTATAAACTGTAGAAGCAGGACAATAAAGGTAAGATTCTGCATTTAAAACTACTGTGTTAAGTTAACTTCATTTGTATACGTTATATTCCAAACAAATGCTTTTAGTCAATGTTTATTATACAATTATAGCATGGTGATGAGGTCGATACATGGTTTTATCAACCTAGGTTAGTAATATTGCTAACCTAGGTCGATAAAACCATGTATCGACCGAAATCACCAAGCTACAATGGTTTTATTATTTTAATTCATTTTTTCAAAATTGATGAAAAAATGTAAAAAAATATTTTTTTCATTTTTTTTCTCCATTTTTTTTAGTCACAAATTTTAAAATCAACTAAACACAATATCAGAAAAATAACAAAATATCAGAAAAATAACAAAATATCAGAAAAGAACACCTGTTCCAGAATCTATTTGTAGCAGGTCAATAACACTTGTTCTACCAACTTTTTTGAACACCTGAAAACCACTCAGGTTTATAACTACTTTTACAGGTGGTCACCTCCAGAGATATGACCATTAAAACTGATTGATTGAATAAAATACATTGAAAATGCGAAAGCCAAGATAATATTATAAACGGGTTTCAAGGGAGACACCAAGGGTTGGTTGGTTAGTTATTAAGGTTTAACATCAACATCTCAGTTCATATGATATGTGCTGGAGGCAGGGAATGATGGTGTATTTGCCTCCTTGTTATAGCGCGAATCTGATGCCGACTTCATAGTTCTACCTCGTTGAAATATCATGCCGAAGACACACAGCAGCCATGAGTTGTTGCCAGTACTCTAAATGCCGAACGTTAAGCAGGGAATATAAATCCCCTTCAGAATTAGGGATTTGCTTTTTAAAAAGTGACCAAAATAAATATGCTTCACCCATTGCAATATTTCGGATCTTTATATCTCTTTCTACTTCTAAATACCTCTTATTTCATAGCGCCTAACTTGGCAATAATTCACTTTTGGTGTTATTCTTGAACGTTTGCCCAGGTGAGGAAGGCAATTGGTTCGCACATGCACGCTTGTACAATACACTTGGAGACACGTCCTTAAATAACCTTGCCTGTTTATAGAACGTTAAACAAAATAAAAACACTCCCCAGGCCGGGACATACCAAGGTCCTTAAACACGATACGTATCACTTCCTGCTTAACGACCAGCATGTAGGGTAATGGCTACAACTTGTTCACCCGTTGTCACTATAACGTGACAAGGCGGAATGCTTTGCTGGCTGCCTTCGGTATTGTATTTCATGACATTACCTCGTGATAGGACGTTAAACCCGGTACAACCAACCAACAATTGTTATTAGATTGCATTGGCCATCAACCAACAAGAGATTTTTTATATTGATATAACAGGTATCGCATGTCTTTTTATACCCCCTCAACGAAGTTAGGGGGAGGGGGGTATACTGGAATCACCCTGTCTGGATGTCTGAATGTCTGTCGTCCACAGTAACTTGTTCGGAGAACTCCTCCTTAACTACAATATAACAGGTGGATTTCATTGCAACTTTGCATGAATGATCGGTATCTTATGTTGCTGTGCACTGGCATTTTACTTTGGGATTTCGACCCTTTTTGATGGAGTTATGCTCCTTTGTGCGAAATACTTGTTTTTTTTTGTTGTTGTTGGTTGGTTTTTTTAATAAAATAGTGATTAACTCCTTAATGGTAGGAGACTAAATTGCTTTGCATTAGTTATCCTTTAGCTTACAGTTCTGGTTTATAATGGAGCGGGGGTAGTTGTTAGCCTTTGGGTTACAGTTTTAGTTGAAACAGAAGATATCTTATCCAATTCCAACCTACCTAAAACTATTTGTCTGCAGCCACTGTCACTTTTCAGGTTGACGCTTGTTACGTTTGTTGACGTCGCTGAAGTTATCTGCTTTAGTAGATATGACGTTGTCGGCTACAACTGCCGTGCTGTTGATATGTTGTCTAAGCATTGGCAACGTGATGACAAAATCGACATCGGATATCTACCGGGAGTTGGAGGAAGTCTTGGAAGGCTTAAATGAGGAGACGAGAGGGGAAAATACGGAGGAATCGGATTTGTATTCTGACACATTAAATGGCGATGCTGTTGACGTCATGACGCGAATGTCTAATGCCAACTATGAAGCCGCAAAGACCGCCATTGACAGCGCTAAAGAGAAGCTGAAGGACGAGTTCGCGGTACGGAATCTTCACTTTACAACAGGTATGCTTTATTACATTAATTTACTTGGCCTTAGAAATATTGATAAAGTGCGGTATATCTTTAAATATATTAGAAACAATTGTTCGTCGTGCTTATAATGTTCGTATATCTGGTGTTGTCTGAAGTGAGCGGATGACGGTGAATTATTCGTTAATATGTGTATCCAAGAATATTGTTGTGTTTTTCCCCAAACTAATATGTACTACGATTTCTAGCCCTTAAATCCTTATATTGACAAGTTTATAAAATTTGTCTCCAGCACACACACATACACACATAGAAGCACGCTCTTGGCTTCCAATTGGACGCCAAACTCGATCAACTAATCAACAAAAATATGACAATCGTTTACTAAAACGAATTTACCACTCACATTTAAAATATTCGTTTTATATTCAATATAACTGCATTCCTAATATACTTATATACAAACTCAACAATCTACGACCCAATGACAATTTTTTGATAATGGTAGATAATGAAATATCAATGTTATGATCAGTTTATGATAACGACCATTACATTTGACTTTATAATAATAATAATAATAACAGTCTTTATTTAAATTTGATTACATATTGAGTCAAAGACTCGTCTCCTCCCATATGGTCAAGAATATTAAAAAATGTACATTATAAAATATACAACAATGATAAAATAGTACTATGAATAGTTAATTGGTAAGATAATTTTACAGGTACATTTTAAATCCACTATTATCACAGAGGCAACTCTAAATGAAACAATGGCCCGAGCTTTCCAGCGGTGGGGGAGAGCCCTACCAGCATGGTCAGCCCAGGTTACATTTTAACTAAACAATAGTTACATAAATAAGGCTAAATTACAAAAATTACAAAAATGATGAGCATACATGTTTTTAACCCATAAAATACTTTTTGGCACACTTCTTAAAAGATAATAGACTTTTACAATTCTGTACATATGATGGTAAACTATTCAATATATATGGACCTTGATATGTAAAAGACCTTCTAAAAACATTTGTTTTAAAAGATGGCATATAAAATACATTCTGTGTTGATGATCTGGTAGGTCTTGAATGGATATCGGATGTCAAAGTAAAATTGTTCAAGTAATCTGGAGCCAGGTTGTTTAAGACTTTGTACATTAAAATGCAGTGGTTGTAGGAAATTCGTTTTTTAAAAGGCAACCATTTAAGTTTGCTAAACATTTCATTTGAAGCTGTACAAAAATCACATTTCAAAATAACTCTGGCAGCTCGTTTTTGCAGTTTTTCAATCTTTGCAAAGTGGTTCTGTTTGGCATTTCCACAGATATTAGATAAGTAGTCAAAATGGGGATGAATGAAGCAATTGTAATATGTGAGACAAGATGATTGGGTCAGGAAAGGTCGAAAGCGTCTCATTTGGAAAATTTGATATGCAATCTTTTCTGCAGTATCTGCAATTTGTTTATCCCAAGATAAACAATCGTCAATAGTAAGTTTTTTCTTGTTTCACATTTTCTAATTGTCTGTCATTTATAAAAACAGATAAATTTTCAGATTGTCTACATTTTCTTTGTAAAGTTCCAATTAACATAACTTTAGTTTTTTCTGTTTTCATCACACCATTTCTGAACTAATTTGGCATCATAATTTAAACTGGAATTGATGTTTTCAATTGATTTGCCATGTGTGTGAGCAGCTGTGTCATTAGCATACATGTTTACTGTTGAGTTTAGGGTAGATCATTTACATACAAGATGAACATTAAGGGCCCAGGGATTGATCCCTGGGGGACACCGACTGTGAGGGGTTGAGGATCACTTAATGATTTTTTGAAATTAACTGTTTGAAAACGATCAGTAATGTAGCTAGTAAAAAAGATGATAGTGTCTTTAGAACAACCATACAATCTTAATTTGGCAAGTAATCTGCTGTGGTCTACAAGGTCAAAGGCCTTTCTAAAGTCTAAAAATAAAACCCCTGACAAGTATCCCTTTTCAATGGAATCATACCACGTGTTTGTAATTTTTGTCAGTGCAGTCTGAAAGGAATGTTATATTCTAAAGCCTGATTGGCTTTCTAAAATTAGATCCTGGCTGCATAAAAAGTTTTAAAGTTGTTGATGAATATGTTTTTCGAGACATTTGGACAGAATTGGTAGTACTGATATTAGTCTATAATTACTGTTTTTTCTTTATTCCCTTTCTTAAAGACAGGAATAACTTTAGCATTTTTCCAAAAACTTGGAAAGGTCAATAATTTACAAACTATAGGTGCAATTGCTTTGGTACAACATTTCAAAAAATTAGCTCCAATATTGTCAAGTCCAGTTGCTTTGGAAGTATCTATATCTATGAAGTATTTGTGTTGCCTGTGTTGGAATATGCCTGTGAAGTTTGGGATGGGTTGTTCTCTGGCAGATCTAACTAAACTTGAACAAGTTCAGCTTGAAGGAGAAAGAATTATTACTGGCCTGCCCTCTTTTTCTAGTAAACAATCGCTGTATCAAGAGTCCCAACATGAACCTCTATCTGAAAGAAGTAAACTTAAGAAACTTTCCCTAATGTACAAACTCCATAATAAACAAACACCTTCTTATTTAACTAACATTCTTCCTCCTAAAGTATGCGAACGCAATAGCTACAACTTGAGAAATACTGAAAACTTCACTGTTCCCAATTTCCGACTGTCTAGTTCATTCCAATCCTTTATTCCTTCTTCTATAAGACTATGGAACGATTTACCAAATACTGTCAGAGAGCAGCCATCCGTTAACATNATGTAGCTAGTAAAAAAGATGATAGTGTCTTTAGAACAACCATACAATCTTAATTTGGCAAGTAATCTGCTGTGGTCTACAAGGTCAAAGGCCTTTCTAAAGTCTAAAAATAAAACCCCTGACAAGTATCCCTTTTCAATGGAATCATACCACGTGTTTGTAATTTTTGTCAGTGCAGTCTGAAAGGAATGTTATATTCTAAAGCCTGATTGGCTTTCTAAAATTAGATCCTGGCTGCATAAAAAGTTTTAAAGTTGTTGATGAATATGTTTTTCGAGACATTTGGACAGAATTGGTAGTACTGATATTAGTCTATAATTACTGTTTTTTCTTTATTCCCTTTCTTAAAGACAGGAATAACTTTAGCATTTTTCCAAAAACTTGGAAAGGTCAATAATTTACAAACTATAGGTGCAATTGCTTTGGTACAACATTTCAAAAAATTAGCTCCAATATTGTCAAGTCCAGTTGCTTTGGAAGTATCTATATCTATGAAGTATTTGTGTTGCCTGTGTTGGAATATGCCTGTGAAGTTTGGGATGGGTTGTTCTCTGGCAGATCTAACTAAACTTGAACAAGTTCAGCTTGAAGGAGAAAGAATTATTACTGGCCTGCCCTCTTTTTCTAGTAAACAATCGCTGTATCAAGAGTCCCAACTTGAACCTCTATCTGAAAGAAGTAAACTTAAGAAACTTTCCCTAATGTACAAACTCCATAATAAACAAACACCTTCTTATTTAACTAACATTCTTCCTCCTAAAGTATGCGAACGCAATAGCTACAACTTGAGAAATACTGAAAACTTCACTGTTCCCAATTTCCGACTGTCTAGTTCATTCCAATCCTTTATTCCTTCTTCTATAAGACTATGGAAGGATTTACCAAATGCTGTCAGAGAGCAGCCATCCGTTAACATGTTTTAATCATCGATTCAGCGTAACCAAGGTTACTTGTTGCCTGTTTTTTTTCATGTAGGAAATCGAAACTAAATATTTTACATACAAGATTGTGTCATTCATGTAGTAGTTTAAACTATGATTTGTATAGAGTTCATATTATAGGTGATCCAATGTGTGCATGTGGAAATGAGTGTGAAAATGCGGTCCATTATTTTTTTGATTGTATGCTGTATATCAGACAAAGACAAATTTTGATTGATGATATCTCACGTTATTGTAGTATTTCTCTCAATGTTAATCTGTACGGTTCTCCAAACTTGTCAGATGAAGACAATGAAAATATCTCCCATATAGTCCAAACCTACATTAAAAATAGTAACAGTTTTTAAGGTCAGTAGTATTATCCTATCATCTCTCTTTCTTATTCTTCTAAATTTCCCTTTTTTCCCTTTTCTCTTCCTTTCTTCTTTGTTCATATCTATATATATATATTATAAATATATTTGTTGTTGTTGTCATGTAATCAATATAATGAAATGTATTGGAGAGGGCGTTTCTAAGTTGAGTTAACTTGTGCCTAATTCTTTTTGTTGAATTACAAATAAAATATGTTTAAATCAAAATCTGTATTTACCAAAAACCTTTCAACAAATTCTTCTTCAACTTTTGGTATATCAAAGGAAGCACCCTTGAGTTTTTCCTCATTGAAAAACCAGAAATCATGTCATCTATACAATCAAAGGCATCGAGAGAGGACCATGGAATATTTTCAATATCTTTGTTGAATTTTGAGTCATCAAAGTTCTTTAAACATCTATATTTAATTGTATGTTGTTCCTTTGTAAATGTTTTGCCTCTTCTTCTAACTTTTCATAATCTGGGGGTCTGTATATGGTTCCTAGGATAATGGGATTATTGTGGGACTGCTTAACTTCCACCCATAGAGATTCTATATCTTCAGTTTGTAGATCGTGTCTTAGTTTGTACGTCATGTCACTTTCAATGTAAAAGGCTACTCCTCCGCCTATTTTATGTAATCTGTCACAACGAATTAAATCATATCCACGGATTTGGAAATCTTTGTCCGGGTGCTTGTCAGTGAGCCATGTTTTACTTAGTCGAAGAATTTCTAAGTTTGAATATAAAACGACAGATTGAACCTTATCAAATTTACTGTTCAGACTTCGAACGCTCCATGATGAAAAACGAAAAACTTCTGGTGCATTTATAGACAGAAGTGTTTCAGGAAACTTAGGTTGTTCACTGGCACTTTTATCTTCACATATGAAGACTTACGTATGTACATTATACCTGAGGTGCTTTAACACGCCTATAATATAGCAACACATTTGCGATATGCAGGTGTTCACTATTATCTCATTACATCATATTTTTAGTACTTTAAATTTAGTGCCTGTGATATCTAACTAAATGCTGCTATATTATTGTATGTTTACTCGCTGATTATGTGCTAGCTTTCTGTGATAGTGTATAGCTTGTTTGTTGTTTTCTGTTTGCTTTTAATCATGTTTGTTGCAAAAATAGCGCAACAGCGCTAATGTTTCTCTGTTTGATATATGCGACGTTAAATAAAGTTTCTTGTATCTTGTATCTTGTATCTTGTATCCCGACTTTGTCTCATTCGTAGATTAGTTTATCTTGCTACATTAATAATGTGAAATTTTCCCGCAGGTATTGACAGTCCTCCCGGAGGATCAACTGCAGCCTCGATGGCTGGTCTGAACGACTTGACACACGGGTCAGAAGGGGAACACGAGGAAAATAAAACTCTGATAGCTCTGTTTGCTGCGGATATACTTATTAAAAAGTGAGCAGCATCCGTAACATCGGGAATCGCTATGAATATTGCTTTAGAAAGATTTAAAAACTTACAAATCCAAAATATCTGTCTTATTTCGTCCGTACTATAAGGTATTAATAATCAGAATTTTATTAATATTCTCCTACGAAAAGTGCCCGTGGAATTTAAGAAAGATACAGCTATTCAAATTGACGCTTGTCTCTTAATTACTCGTTTATTTGATGTCATTTCCTTAATAATGTGTTATCGACCTTGTATTAGCCCTTATGACCTCTTTTGTGTTGATGGGCCGTTTAGAATGAAGAATTGATATAGAACATTATCCTTCCTATTAACACGATTTTAATGTTCTGACAGGTCTGGAATAACTGAAAATAAGAGAGTAGTTTAGGACTGCCCTTAAACTACATTCAACAGATATTAAACTGCCTTACTCTGAGTTTAAACTTTCCATTAAAAATTAATTACAAAAATTGTCTGAAGAAATGAATTTATTTTCGGTAAGACAATGTAGGAACAAGCGCATCAGATAAACGTGCGTGCAGGGCAGAAGTTGTCCCTAGAAACTGACCTTAACAACCTTCATTAGGTATGCTTACAATTAACGAAATTAAAATTAATCTTATTTCCCGAATCCAAACAAATACGTGAAAATGCCAGTTTTACTTTGAATCATTTGGATAATACAGTTTCTGTGCCATTAATAAATTATTATCTACATTCCAATCATTTGTACAGAAATATGTGATATCATGTTCTACAATCAATTCGTATGCTATGGATGTGTTGTTGCATTTTTAACATTTTATCCTTTAAGTTTAGGTTTAAGCTTGATGTAATCCTTTTTGTAAACTCTGTATTTAGTGTTTTATGGCCAAAAATTTCAAACGTTTCTGACGCGAAGTAAAACAATACTGTATTGAAGCTATATGTATGAACTGTTTTCCAGAAGCTTTAAAACACAACTCTGGGGGCGGGTCCTGCTTCAATCTTTATCCAATATCGTTTAAATGAAGAGCAATTTGTAATGATGTAAATGGAAAAATAGTACATGATCCATTTCAATCATTTTATTTATTTAATATCTACTTTTGTGTAATTGTACACACAATATATTTCCGACAGCGGCCAATTCACGTCCATCGAGAAGATGCAGGAGGATAAAAACGTGAAAAATGCGTTTAGTGATGAAGACGGAGACTGCGATGGAAGAAATCGTCCAGTGGTTCACGTCGATTGCTCGATGGAGGCTGACTCGAAATACAGGAGAATCAATGGCACCTGTAATAACATACAGAATCCGTTATGGGGGTCGACAGGGACGCCCCAGGTTCGTCTTTTAGATGCTGAGTACGAAGATGGTACGTATACTTAGTCTTCTTTGTATTTTCACATGTTCACACGTTGTCAGTATAATGTGACCGGGCGGGAAGCTCTGCTAGATACCTTCGGCATGGTATTTCAGTGAGGTAGCACTATAAAGTCGGCATCAGATCCGTGCTATTACAAAGAGGCAAATACCCAAACAGACCCTGTTTCTAGCACACGTCCTTAAATGTACACATATACAACACACATGGAGGCACGTCCTTAAATGTACACATATACAACACACATGGAGGCACGTCTGTAAATGTACACATATACAACACACATGGAGGCACGTCCGTAAATGTACACATATACAACACACATGGAGGCACGTCCGTAATTGAACTTAGCTGTTGAAAGGACGTTAAACCCTAAACAAGCAACCAACATCTAGGCCTAATTTTTTTAAACTGCATTTACTTGGCATTTATACTTTGTACGGATGTCTGCCTTCCTCCAATCAGTCCCAAACTAAGACGCCAAGAGGGCTTGACTTGATATTTAAGCTACAGGGATATAATTTAATTAAATATCATTCTGCAGCTTTTTTTCAAATATTGGCTCTGTCTCCAAGCAACACCCGTCCCTCATTGAGTCTTTTCTTTTTACGTCCATGAAGCAGGGTGGATTTTAAACATTTACATCAACTTTCCCTTATTTTACCCCGCCCAAACCTCGAATCCAATTTGCCTAAGGATGCACTACACAAAATTTCTTTTAAATTCCTCCAATCGTAATGAACGAGAAGACTTTTAAACATCTATTACTATGCTACTCCTATTTGTCAAAGGGGCCACACTCTCTGAAACAAAAGGGAGTCCCCATTGTCACACAAACCCTGGTTAAAATCCCTCCAACCGTACAGAAGGAGAAAGATTAACCTCGATTTCCTTATCCGGCTCCGCCTCTATTATGGCAACATTATTCGTGTATGCAGAATGTTCCATTGGCTATTGATGCTCAAGTAAAAATCATCTAAGCTGTTCAGGACTTGTGGCGTTTTAAACGAAAAGTTGACGGATGGACGCCGCGCCACGGCGAAAAATCACTGGTCCTCTGGACCGAGGTGAACCTGCATATAAAATTTGAGAAAAATTAAGTGTTTTCCTCGCAACGAAGATGGCTGCCTGGCAGCCACCTGGTTTTTACCATCAGTCTTTCAATGAAACATATACAACTATAGACTAAGGGAAAAATTCATATAAAATCTGAAAATCTGTTCAGCATTTTGTGAGAACTAGAGATAAAAATTGTTTAAGATCAGTCGGCCAACGATGATTTTAGTTTGGAAATTAATAGTCAGTACATCCGGAAGTCTCCAATCAAGTGTGCCTTTACCTGCTATCATGGTAACATTGAATGATAAACCACTTGTAAGATCCCTTCCGAGTCTCCGGCAACACCACCAAACAACACTGATGACGTACAAAAATTGAACTTAGACCTCCAATGTGTTTGTTGTTTTTCATATGTCCTGATTTGAAATGAAAGGTAGAGATATTGAGCATGATAATACGGAAGTTACCTTCCGGCTGCGCATGTGCAGTGAATATGTTAATACATCTTGATCAGGTTGTTGTGAATGACGTCATTGTAACCTTCTGAACTAACATGCGAGAGTTGTTTGTATCGATTTACGATTACAAAAAGGTCGGTAAGATTCAAGGAAGAAAATATAATGTTATCAGCGACGAACTCTGTTCACAGAGTGTTGATATTTGTATCTCTCATGTTATATATATATATTGGATATTAAAGTAGGGGAAAAGGCTTTTTCCTAGTTTTACACCGAAATATAACTTTTATAATCGTTGTAAATTGTTAACTTCTCAGGGATTGGTGCAGTACGGACAACTGGAGTGAATGGCGATCTACCAAGTGCCAGGACACTGTCCATAACAGTGCTACGAAACGAGAGTGACCCCCAGACACCCGATGACCCTATCAGAAGTGTGATGGTGACGGTGTGGGGTCAGTTTCTTGACCACGACCTCACAGAAACCCCTATGACTAAAGGTATATATATAACAATTCATAACTCCTACAAGGCAATGCTATGTAATTTAAAAATGGGTTGTATAGTAGAGATTATAACGTTATAATAGATATTTAATGAAATCAAATCATATTTTCAATAAGATTTATCAGTTTGAACATAATGTGATATCAAAGTTTAACTTTCTACACATTAAAGGTGTTGCAACGTTTATCAAGCTATGGCTCAGGGCTCGTCATTGGTATTTCAAATTCGTAAAAAGATAAGCCAGGATATATAATGTCAATGTTCTTGCAGGTAGGAAGGACACCAATGTTGGTTGTTGTTCACTACCCAAGGCGGTGAGAGACCTCAGGTAAGATCATGAATGGAATTTCTTTATTCTATTTTTTGGACTTCCTTTCAAAAACAAAAGCAGTAATCATGCACAGATTTGGGGAAAGAGTATTCCTGCTGTAACCCACTGCATAAAGTCAGAGGCGACCTAGCGGGTCCCACTGCATAAAGTCAGAGGCGACCTAGCGGGTCCCACTATAGACTGGGTTATTTATTCCGTGTCTTTTACATATTGAACTCTGGCCACCACTGCAACATTCTGATCTTTTCTCACTTCCCTAGTCTTTGCTCCTGAATCGGAGCGTTGTTTCTTCTGTATACTCTGTTACGGGGAACGTTTTATAAACAATGGTTCTGCTGCCCCCATTGCACCTTTATGTGTTTCCTTAACATTTCCTATTGCTTCCTACCGCCTTCACTGGCAATACCTCTCTTTAGATCCAAGTGCTGAACGTTCGCCAAATGAGGAAAACGATACGTTTAGTCCACAGACCGGACCATACAAAAGTCCTTGACATGGTAGTTGTCGTTGCCTGCTGAACATCCAACATTAAAGGCAGTTGAACATTTTGTTAACCTGTTGTCAGTTTAATGTGAGCAGTCGGAATTCTTTGCTTGGTGTCTTCGGCATCGTATTTGTTGTTAATTCAATTTGAGCGGAGAGAACATTATCTTTGGTGTCGTCGGCATCAGATCCATGCTATCGCAAAGAGGCAAATGGTACATTACACACTTGGAGGCACATACACATAACCTTACCTGGGTCATGTTGTACTCTGTTTAACGTCCTATCAACAGCTGAGGTCATTTAAGGACGTGCCTCCATGTGAGTTGTAAATGCGTGCATGTTTGTATGTGTGCCGGTGACTGGGCATTTACTGTTAACGGGACGTTTAACTAGAGTTAACCTTTATGACAGTGTCTCCTTTTATAATTAGGCACCCGTCCCCATATGACCATAGATTATGTGAAGGCTAAAACTCCAAACAAACAAACAAAATCGGCTCGGGGAAAGAATAGGCCTTCTGTATCATATTGCATAGTCGTAAGAGGCTTGTAAAGTGGAGCTCCCTGCAGAATTCGAGTTGGTTTCATACCTCGTCTTTTATATATGAGACACTCACACTTATAACAGACCTGCTGTAACATACTGCATGATTCTAAGAGGGGAGAATACTGTTGGGGCCCCTGCACAATCGAGGTCGTCTGCTGTCTCTCTACAATGAAGACATGGAAGCGGCCACGATTGATCTGCTGCCCTAATGCCAACATTTGGGATCTTTTAGTTCTCTATCATTGTGTTATCTTCTTTCTCTCTTATCTTTTTTTCTGACGGTGACCCTCGATGCATTCGTCTTCACGTAAACATGTCAACTCTAAACAAACTAAAGCATTACTGAAACAAACAAAAATATCTGCTACCTCCAATGGAACACTTGGAGCATATTCTATTTCTATGATGAAATTTTATGACGAGTGCAGAATACTTTATCCGGATGAATATGAATTGTACTGTACTGTTCAATATTTGTTCAGTTTACGTCCATGTTATTTGATCCATGTACTTAAACATTTTGTTGTCATCATGATGTGTTAAGGGCAACGGGTTATTGCGGATTCTTGTCTTTTTTGGGGGGGAGGGGTAAACATCGGGTAGTTGATCGGGAGTCTGGAGCCAGAACAAACACTAGTTAAAATATTTCCTCCATATATTTTAATAACGATTTTGGTAAAGTGTCATTATCACGCAAATCTTGTTACTTTGTGAATAAATGCTTTCCAGGACGACTCAGTGCGCAACTATTGAAATTGAACCCAACGACTACCATTTCACAACAGATTGTATGGACCTAGTGCGATCCTTACCGACCAGAGAAAACCCATGTGTTCCAGGTATGTAAACATGTATTACTACGGCTAAAGTAGACGAAATCATATGACGTATCTTAATTTACAATGAAGATAATTAACTTACAATGAAACATCCTTAGCGATCAAATCAAGACCGTTTATTTCCCTTTTTGCCGAACCGTGTAACACTCTTTCTTAAAGTAAGGGTGTTTGTTGAACCTATTAACTATTTATTGTGACAGGGCACCCTAGGAAAAATAATGAAATCAAAAGAGCAGTAACATCGGGAATTCAATGATATTCTGATACAGAACATTACCTTTCCTATTTACAAGGTTTTATTATGATGACTCCTGATCTTAATTTTGATATCGAGTCATGTCGGATTAACTGAAATGAGAGTAGATAAAAGCAGCGATAAGTCTACAATCAGCAGAAATTAAACCGTCTTATTCTGATTTTAAACCTTCATAAGGATTTTTTTTATTAAAATCGGTCGGTAACATAAATGACCCTATAGTTCAGCGTTCGCCCATGTGAGGAAGGCTTTGGGTTCTGTCCCCTGGCCGAGACATACCAAAGTCTTTAAAAATGGTTGTTTCTACTCCTGCTTAACGCTCAGCAAATTAGGAGTGGGACGACTGGTTCACCAGTTGTCAGTATAATGTGACCGGGTGGGGTGTCCTGCTGGGTGTCTTCGGCAGTATGTTTCAATGAGGTAGCACTATAAAGTCGGCACCAGTTCCGCGCTATCACAAGGAGACAAACACGAACATATCGCAGGCTCCCAAAATACACACACATACACTACACGCATACATCTTGCACACAGGGGAGGCCGTCCTTAAATGACCTTAGCTGTTAATAGGACGTTAAACAAAATCAAACAAACAAACAAACAAACAAACCTTCAGCCAATAAGAACAAATATTTAACAATGACATTGCAGATCTCAAATCACTTTTCGAAACGGTCAGTATTTCTACAATTCTAACCCACCTAACAACTTGATCTTTTCAAAAATATATAACTAAATCATAGCCACTTATACATTTATCAAGTTGACGTTGTCTTTTAAAACATAATGTTTTACAACTAATTTGTCGCTATTGATTTTTGCCTGCTTTGAACATTTTAAAATTTAGATTTAATGTGTTCCGTTCTGGTGAACGTCAGTGTTGTTTGCCCTTAAATGACCTATTGTCGATAGACCGTGAAACTAAACAAATCCCTAGGCAGGTCTATCCTAGGTTTCTTCGATGTTCCCTAAACAGATGTAACAGGGGTTATTATTTTTTTAATGCCTACGCTAGGAGTCGAACGCGGAAACTCTAGTTGACCTGTCTTACGCGCTACGAACGAGCTAAAGAGAAGTTTTTCCCATCAGAGTCGGTATGAAGCGGGTGACATACTCCCCTATCTCACACTCACGTAAGAATTGTAGCTGCTGCCCCAAATGCATAATCGTAAGAGGCGACTAAATTTGGGATATTATCTTTTCTCTTCTTTTTAACAACTTTCTTCTTCCTAATGTCTCCCTTGACAATGCCCCACTTTTGGCCTTTAGTTAAGCGTTCGCTCCTGTGAGGAAGGCTTTGGGTTCTGTCCCCTGGTCGAGACATAACAGAGTCTGTAAAAATAGTAGTTTCTACTCCTGCTTAACGCTCGGCGATTTAGGAGTGGAACGTTGTCAGTATAATGTGACCGCAGTATATTTCAGTGAGGTAGCACTATAAAGTCGGCATCAGTTCCGCGCTATCACTAGGAGACAAACACGAACATATCGCAGCCTCCCAAAACACGCACGCATACACTACACGCATGTATCTTGCACACAGAGGAGGCCGTCATTAAATTACCATAATTGTTGATAGGACGTTAAACAATTCTAAACCAAACCAAACCATCACATACACGCATGTTTGCATACACAACACACATGGACACGTGTCCTTTAATGACCTTAGCTTTTGATCGGACGTTTCAGCCTATAAAACAAAAACAAGATTCGTTTTCCTCGTCTTTTCGGCGCCGTCCCCAGTCTTTGTAGAACCTAATCTGTTCCGAGGACGTTAAACCAAAACACTTATTATCGAACTCTAGGGTAGACACAGAAAACAGATCCAAAATGTATCGTGCTGACCAAGTAGTATTGTAATCCGTTGTGTGTATGACGATTCGGGCATAAAAACACATTCGCTGTATAATGATGGCGATAAATATACATTAACCCCCGTACTAATGCGTGATATCTATTTTAGGAGTTCGAGAACAAATCAACGCCATCACAATTTTCATCGACGGATCCCAGGTATATGGATCTGAGGAATCTGTTGCTGGGAGTCTTCGCTCTTGGACCGACGGTTTAATGAAGGTCAAGGGAGACAACCTTCTACCTGCAAATGAAGATACCGCATGTCTGCTGACAAAACGCAAAACCCATTGCCTGTTAGCTGGTACGAAACACTTCCTGCATATCATAGAAAAAAGAAAGTACTGCAAAACCCCGATGTATCCAGTTTTATCAAACGTAATAGGCAACGAATATGGTCAGATTAAATAAGCACTTAACTTTGCAATTTAACCCACGGTGAGTTCCTTTGTTTTTGAATCTCTATTGCGTTTCTTATTGAGTGATATTAAAAACAAATAACTGTTGTCCCTATGGAAACACCTCGGCTCTATATATTTTCTTTTTCTCACATCCCTTATCTCTCTTTTGAGGGGGTGTATCCGAATGTGTTCTTTTTACCTTAGCTCTGTAGAAAATTGGTATAACACGTACGAATATGATCTTACATTTTGGATGTAGAAATAGTTCCAGTATCGTTAGAGTGAAAGGAATGCGGAGCTGGGTGTTTGTGGAGTGGTATTCCGAAATGGTAGCAGTCTTAAAGTTAGCTTTAGAACTCCGCTTTCACAAGAAGCAAAATACAGAAACACACTGCCGCAAACATTACTAATGGTGGCACGTCCTGAAATGACATTATCTGTTAATAGGACGTTGAACAAACTAAAACTAAATCAATTGTGATAGGACGCTTATACCATATGAAGCAGAGTAAACATAATCAATATGTACATAGATGTTATGGATGAAATGTCTGTTTCTCGTTGTTTTATTTCGTCACTTAATTGTAATACTTGTTTCTCTTACACTCACTAAGATAATAAGGATATGAAAACCCTTGCCCCATATACTATGTCAACCTATACATATAAAATAATCACAAGAAAAACGGAGATATGAAGCACAAATCAAATGATTTCTAAATTACTTGGGTGTTTCTGCATTTTCTACTGTTTTGAATTTAGGTGACGTGCGTGTGAACGAGAACCCTCACCTTGGAGCCATACACATTGCCTTCGTACGATACCACAATATTCTGGCCAACCGTTTCAAGGCTCTTGGCCTTGCTGACGACGAAGAGATATACCAGAGGACCAGGAAGATCATCGGTGCCATTATGCAGCACGTGACCTTCTCGGTTTGGTTACCTGATGTGATCGGGGAGAGGGCCATGAGGAAATACAGACTCACCTTAGACGACACGGATCCATACGAGTAAGAGGAACTGCTGCTTATGTTAACGATAAAAACAATATCATCCCAAAGAAAACTCTGTACCGAATTTAGTCATTCATTTTACAACTGTTATTTTTCGTATTTAACAATGATGAATATATATTTCAACAGAAAAAAAGTCAAATGCAACTGCTTTTCAAATATGGACTTAAATTTGTCTTGCGAAACTTTTAATTTTCAAGACAATTAACTATTTGAAATATTGCACTTTAGAGTTGGTAAAATCAGAGATTTCCGTTATTTTCGTCAGATCACAGAGGATGGAAAACATTTTTCTCGACGATTCATTGGCACTTTTTTCTTCTAAAAGACTGATATTCATCATGATCAAAAGCATTTTTTTATATTGAATCGTAAGTTGACTGGACCCATAAGTTGACCCATTCGATGAAATTTAAACAATAGGCTAATGCGCCTGCACAAGGTAAATGTGAGTCAGCTCCAGGCTTCTAATGAAATCATACATAGTAATACTATTGTAGCCAACCATGTCGGTGTGTGCCTTGGTTGGCCTTGTATTATGTAGGGACCTTGGCCTGTTCTTCTGTGGTCAGAGACGACAAATGTAGAAGTCCTTGCAGAATTAGGTGTTTACATTCTTGTCCTCTGTTTAAGGGGCATCGCAGAAACCAAAAGCGATTCGCATTCCCAATTGGATTTCTAATCAGTTCCTTTCTCTCTTACCTACTCTTTCATTTTGCCAGTCTCTCCTTAGAAACCCGTTATCATATTACCTAATGCATTTAACTAATGCAAAACCGTAAAATCCCAAATAAACAAAAGTACAATTTGTTTCTTTAATGAACATATTTGAAAACAAAGCAGTTCACAGTTCTTGCCAGCCCCAGATTTAATATCCCTAAAGCCAAGGTAAAACTCCCAAATACCTGCCAAGTGTCCCGAAGTGTCTTAATCTCTCTCCCATCTAGTCGACATCTCCTATAAAATGTCAGTTTGATGTTTGTCTGGTCGAGTTCATCATTTCTGAGAGACCCTCTAATAAAAGCTGCACGACTCCTCTGTGTGACAACTTCGTGTTCCAGTGCTTTATCTTGGTTTTCACCTCATTTTATGGAAGATCCTTCACGGCAATATCATACAATTACATTATATTTGATAGCTGCAGCGACATATTTACGTAAACTTGTCCTCGTACTAAAGGCTACCCTTTACCTAGGGAACGTTGTTCCGGTGCAGGACGCCATCAACGCGTGCAGATGTTCTCTTTTGAGAAAAAACAACCAAATATCCATTCTAAAGTCGTTCTCAGTTTTTCATGAGGTATTTTCACACTGACACCCTGTGATAATGGATTACTTCTACTCGTAGGCGGTGTTAAATTATATACAGATCATAAAAATATATCAATCATGAACCGATAATTATATTATATAAATATGCTGATAACAATTGTTTGTTGCGAATGAAGTAGGACTTATGGTAGGAAGCTTCTGTATTGATATTGTAATCTGTATATATATATATATATATATGTAAAGTTAAGTGACAATAACAACCTTGCCTGTATTTTGCAGCATTCGATTCAACCCGTCTGCCATTAACGAATTCAGTACGGCAGCCATGCGATACGGCCACACACTAGTTTCCCAAAACTTGCTCCAGCTGGACGATGGTTTCAAGATCACAGATGATTCGGATCGGCTCGATAATCACTTCTTTAGACCAGACATGGTCTCTGACAAAACGCAGCTACAAAACTTAGCCCGCTGGATGGTCTCTTTGTCGTGCAAGAAGTCGGACGCGTACGTAAATTTTAATAAAAGTTTCCTAGGACAGAAATATTTGATAAACCGCCCCTTTGTAGAGCAATAGAGCCAAAATGATAATTTACAACGAACTAATAAAGGTGTATCATTTTGCGGTATACTTTTGTATTCAGTTTTTAACATTTTACTAGATAAAAGATCAGTATTCATTCAGTTTAATCATTAATCATTTCTGCCAGACTTATCCCGATCTATCTTCTGAATGACTTTATCGTTGCTTTGGCATTAAAGCAAAAAATCACAAAACGTCTATGTTTAGACTTCTTGTTCCAGATTTTTTGTCCCAGCGATACATGATGACTTATTCTTCCCACACCTTCTAGACGGACTTGACCTTGGTGCACTCAACATACAGCGAGGACGCGAACACGGGCTGCCAGGTTACACGAAATACAGGAAATTATGTAAATTAAGTGTTCCTGCGGACTTTGATGATCTGAAAGACCATACCCCATGGTTCCAAGAGAAACTGCGTAAAGCCTATACGTAAGCCTCTTTGATGTTCATGAGTCAAATAACGCTATGAAAAAAGGCCGTGGGATTGCATATCTTGAATACTTATCAAGCAGATATCCAGGTTTGATTTGCACGAGCAAACCCATATTTAATGTGTTTAGGTAGGAGAGTACTTTTACCTTTATTTTTTTATTTGTATACAGGTACATGGCCGATAGAAACTCGAAAATATTATATTTTCAGATGTTTTGTCCAATTCATCATTGGGGATAACTTTCAAAGTGGCAAAATAATTTGAATAAATGCGCAGACAACAAATTTTACTCTGTAAAACCCTAAATCAGTAAATGGTCCATGCAAGTCTTCGGGTGGGCCATTCATACATTACCCATTCTTATTTATCAAAACGCGAGGACCAGCCTCATTGTGTAGCATGTCACGAATCATTTACAGTAAAGCACTTGCTATTAGATTTCATTGACCTTCAGCCTACACGAGCAAAAAATCATAGTCATATAACAATTCTCAAATATCTCTTCGAAACGGTATATATCACAACCATTCTATCCTACCAGAAAACTGTTAGTTTGTTCACTAGATACAATTTACCATAACCACTTTTGCTTTCCAAGTTATGTCATTTACTTTTACAATTTTTGTCTATCTTTTTTTGGCCCTAAAGACTTCTTCCCTGTTGATGGGCCGTTAGGAAGTAAATACATAAATAAATCGTCGTTTAGACGAAATGAGGACATTGACTGTTTGCCGATAGAATGATTGACTTCTATCAATGTTTACTGTTTTATCTGTATGTAGGGATGTGGACGACATTGACCTGTTTGTCGGTGCGATGTCGGAGACTCCTGTGAGTGATGGACACATAGGAAGCACCTTCGCCTGTCTGATAGGATTGCAGTTCCGGGCCCTGAAACGAGGCGACCGCTTCTGGTTTGAACGTCCTCAACCGCAAGGATTGACGCAAGGTAAAAAGACATTAGTGCTGCAATGATTATTATAACAAATGCTTTCTTATCAAACGTTTAACTTCGATGCCTTTGGTTGCGGGTTCGAGTCCCGGCACTGCACTGTGTTGTATCTTTAAGCAAGATACTTTACTCCGCTTGTTCTAGTCTACTCAGCTGTGAATGAGTACGTGATTGGGCTTAGCTAGAATTGTAGAATCCTAGCTGTAAGCGCCGAAATGGCAGTGCCGGCTGTATGCTCCCCATGGAGTTAAGAAAGACATTGGCTGGTTGCAAAGGGCCTATAACCACGGATAAGAATTTGTGAACCGCTTTGAGACGGCCTATGAACTAGGTTGTGATAAAACCTCGAATTATTATTATTATAATTGGTTTATATTTTCTGTACAGAAGCTCATGATATCTATCTGGCTATTAAACACATGACATAAAATGATGTACCGAATTCAGTCATCTATTATGATATCCAATCTATTCTACAGAACCTTCGAAATAAAACTTTTTTTAAGAGTATTTCACTTAGTAAAATATTAACAGCATTGCAGAGACGCAAAAACGGTTTTATTACTACCACCTGTTGATTTTAAACTTCATTTTACTGATTATTTTAACCGTGAAAGATAAATTGTGTAAGGCAAATAATTAGAAGCGATGTGTCGACAACGTAAAATCGGTAAATGGTATCCAACCTTTAGAAGAAGAAAAAACGAGACGAGGTTGTTCTTGCCCGTCTCCATTTCGATTATTGAGAAGCGAAGACCAGCCTCAATGTATAGCATGTCACGAACCATTCACTGTAAAATACGTGTTATTAGATTGCATTGACCTTCAGCCAACACGAGAAAAGTTTTAGTATATTACAAATCTCAAATCCTTCTTTTTACCCTGCATAAACAAATCGGTCTGTTCCAAAATATCTAACTAATCATAATTACTATGGTTTTTATTTTAAGTTCACATTTTTCTTTTCATTTTCTTTTTCATTTCTATTTCTTTTCATTTTGTCTATTTTATCTACGTTTTATTGGCACCGAAGACCTCTTCTGTGAGATTGGCCAATAAGAATGCAATAACCAACTATTTTTGGAATGGTATTCTAAATACCGCGCGAGGAGGTGCTTTAAATCGTTATGTCTTTTAACATTTGCTGTTGGATTTGTTTATGTATTATATGTTTCTTTTTTGTCTTTCCAGCTCAGAGAAATAATATAAAAGCATTTCCTTTGGCTAAGGTTTTCTGTGAAGTATTTGGCTTACAAAAGATTCAGAAAAACATTTTCCAAGTACCAAGGTAAGTTAGTTAAATCGTACAACATCTAAATGCCTAGCGTTATGAATAGTATTAACTTGTACAGAATATCTCAAACGCGTCATCACGGGAATATGGACTGGAAGGGAGTCTTTTTTACGTGCGCCAAAAAGTATATTGACTGAAATAATCGTATGTAAATAACATCCTAATGCACTGCTACAATGTACCGTTAAACTAAACGAGGACAAAGTGTAAGTCAAAACGAGAACGTTAGGATACGGTGTATTGCATTGAGGAAGCAAATCAATGTTGCGTCTTGAATGTCCCCGAATCAGATGTTATAGAAAACAATCCCGAATTTGAATAGTGTCCCATATTAGTTGCCACTAAGGGTCATACATTGGAATACCTCGGGCCTTATTTTCCACGAACCTGCACGCGTAAATGACCACTGTATGTGTGTTCCTTCACATTTTCACGTTGTCAGTATAGTGTGACCGGGCGGAATGCTGTACTGGGTTCCTTCAGCATGGTATTTCAGTGGAGATAGCACTCTAAAGTCGGCATCAGATCCGCGCTATCACAAGGAGGCAAGCACACCAACATATCCTGTCTCTACTCCTACATGGAGGCTTGTCCTTAAATGACCTTAGCTGTTAATAGGACGTTAAACAAAATTAAACAAATCAAAACCAAACCTTTTACAGGTCGTTAATGTATTTGATGTTATTGCAAGCATTATGTAAAATATATTCAAATCAATTGTATTTTTCAATGAAAAGTAATCCATTTTTATTTATTTCTGTTAAAGGTTAAGTGAATTCATCCCCTGTTCTGATCTGCCCGACATCAACGTCGACCTTTGGATGATGTGAGACCAGGTGGTACCGAATCGATGTCAAGCGGATAGAAATTCTACACTATATATAATGGCTCTTTGTTATATCTCCAGACAGTACCCTATAATGTAAACGGCTGCTTACATGTAACAGTTATCTGTCAATAAATCACACTTTTGCATCAGAGTTTGTAAATAAAATCTTCATTTTAAACATGAAACATGAGATATTATGACACTATAGTTGTTAATTATCAAATATTAATTAGAGGTTATTTTTCTGGCTGAAAATCTTTACGCTGATACTTATTAACCCCTCGCGACAAGTCGTTGACGTGAAACCCAATACAACCGACCAACCACCCAACGTTATGACGTATCTAAAACAAAATTTTACATTTCTAATCATATGAAGTAACATTTATGTCTCCAAATATATAATAACAGGTCTGTCTACTGTCTACTAGACACATGTTCAAGATATCAACACTCTACAACCTTCAACTTAGTACGGGGCCCGCGAAGGGGCATGGTAACTCACGGGTTCGTAAATGTATAACATGTCCCTTCGCGGGCTCCGTAGTTATGGGGTGAATGAGCTTGCTGGTTTTCTTTTGTGGGTTGTTTCCCTTATACCACATCAACGGCTAATCGTTTCGTGATTCGAAGGCTAACTAAATTATTTCTCTCGTCATTTGACTCACACAGTGCAGCGTTGTATTTATTGGTTAACAATGCCGTTTCTACCTCATTCAAATATGGCTATTAGCGTATAGAAGGCTATAACTGTGTTTGGATATGATAACAAAGAGACTTATACATCATCGTGGGATACATTTACAGCTTTAGAATAATTCCAGAGATATTAAACAAAAATCATATTATTTCTACAGAAACTTTCTTGGCTATGGCTATTGGCGTATAGAAGGCTATAACCGTGTTTGGATATGATAACAAAGAGACTGATACATCATCGTGGGATACATTTACAGCTTTAGAATAATTCCAGAGATATTAAACAAAAATCATATTATTTCTACAGAAACTTTCTTGGCTATGGCTATTGGCGTATAGAAGGCTATAACCGTGTTTGGATATGATAACAAAGAGACTGATACATCATCGTGGGATACATTTACAGCTTTAGAATAATTCCAGAGATATTAAACAAAAATCATATTATTTCTACAGAAACTTTCTTGGCTATGGCTATTGGCGTATAGAAGGCTATAACCGTGTTTGGATATGATAACAAAGAGACTGATACATCATCGTGGGATACATTTACAGCTTTAGAATAATTCCAGAGATATTAAACAAAAATCATATTATTTCTACAGAAACTTTCTTGGCTATGGCTATTGGCGTATAGAAGGCTATAACCGTGTTTGGATATGATAACAAAGAGACTGATACATCATCGTGGGATACATTTACAGCTTTAGAATAATTCCAGAGATATTAAACAAAAATCATATTATTTCTACAGAAACTTTCTTGGCTATGGCTATTGGCGTATAGAAGGCTATAACCGTGTTTGGATATGATAACAAAGAGACTGATACATCATCGTGGGATACATTTACAGCTTTAGAATAATTCCAGAGATATTAAACAAAAATCATATTATTTCTACAGAAACTTTCTTTAATGGTCCCTAATTGGTCATATATTCGATACCAAATTTTCAAAACGACATTTATATATTTCTCGTTCAAATCCTTTATGTGTTCTTTGAATCGGTGAATAGCTATATGGTGAATCTGGATTCTAAATGGCAAGGATATTTAGCAATTGGGCAACAATGATATGACGTCACAAAATCGGATTTTTTTCTATAGTGCGGTGCAGAAACTGAAACGTTTTGTGTGGTTTCTGAGCTTGTTTAAAAGAAAAGAAAAGTACTCCTTCATTCCAAATGATGTTGAATAGGAAAATTCCTCTCTCGGAAATACTTTAAATCAATTTGAAAACCACTTGGGTGGAAGGTCAAGATCGTACACTCCTTGGCATTAAAGATTCGTATCGAAAATACGAGTTGCCTCCCGTTGAACTACCAGCACGTGTCGGTTTCTTACGCCTATCAAAGGTACAAGGTAACTTGTTATCGGACACGAACACTCTGCCTGTTTAAGACTCTCTTATTATCACTAACATACTCTCATGTTGTTCATACAATAACCAAAAGTATGTCGTTTTAACATCAGTGTAACCATTGAGTAACATATGGCAAAACTAAAAATACTACTCCAGATTTAACAGTGACAGATGATCTACAGTGTCAGATGAAATCACAAATTGCTGGGTGTGGCTGGCACCTCCTCATTAATATAGTGACACATCCGCCCAGAGTCTGAGAAATGGTTGGGTGGCACAGGGGATGGCCCCTCGCCTTTTGCCAAGACGCCCAGGGATTGCTATAGAAGTGGGAAAATAAATTTTATAATATAGGACGTCCTGAATTCATATTTAAGAAAACTACCCACTATACCTATGATATGTCCCAGACGAGATGTTTATTACTAGGTCGTCCTAAGTACATACAATGTATATGTGGAACAGATGTTAATGACTAGGTCGTCCTAAGTTCATATATGTGGATCAGATGAGAATTACTAGGTCGTCCTAAGTACATTATGTGGAACAGATGGTAATGACTAGCTCGTCCTAAGTACATATATGTGGAACATATGGTAATGGCTAGCTCGTCCTAAGTACATATATGTGGAACAGATGGTAATGACTAGCTCGACCTAAGTACATATATGTGGAACAGATGGGAATTAGAAGCGGAGTGTCGAGTACCGCAATTTGGCCACGCGGACCTTTATTTCCAGAGTTATGGCCCTTTTGTTAAATTTTACTTGTCAGAGTTACATCTCCAAACCTATTTCATGCAGCAACCTCAGACTATGCATGCAGACACCACTTGGGATTCCGGGGTGCAAATCCAGGCTATTGCAAGGAGGCAAATACACCAAAATACCCCTGCTTGCAGCTCATATACACCAAAATACCCTGCTTGCAGCTCATACACACCAACATACCCTGCTTTCAGCACATATACACATGCACGATACACAAGACACATGGAGGCAAATAAACCAACATACCCTGCTTCCAGCACATATACACCAACATACCCTGCTTCCAGCACATATACACATGCACGATACACAAGACACATGGAGGCACGTCCTTCATGACCTTACCTGTTCCCAGATGTTTAACCCTTTACCAACAACCAGTTAAAAATAGGATTTTGTCTAATGCAACAGAATTTGTTCCCCGTTACTGCTCTTTGACATTGTATTATTTATAGAAATAAGTGTTATGTACTGCCATGGGACACTCCGCGTGGCTGGATGGGTTACGATCGTTAAGGCAATGCTAGACTTTCTCTTGGGAATCACTGGAGTAAACTAAAGACCATACCAACCAACTAACAACTTTTGTCGACACATATATATACAATACAATATACAATAAGTCTGAACCAATCGATGGATGTGACTGATCTGTTATATATTGACACGTATATGTGTAATACACGTCACAAACATTATCTAGCGTTACGTACTAATGAATCCTTTAAATATTGAATGAGGCATCTACCAGGTGTAGGATTCTGAGAATAAAATAGCAATTGGAATAGTTGGCCACGGCGTCGGGCTTACAGAATGGATGTTGTGGCTATTAGAATGACTGGTTGGCTGTCCGTGGCCCTACTGACCACCCTGTGTTGTACCGTCGTCCTCCAGACACAAGGTCAGTGTATGTTACGCTCAAACATATCTCAATGTTAACCGAAGTGTCCCATTGCTCATAGATATGTTCATTTAATAGTTACATCGACGCCTATCATATATCTGAAAAGATCACCAAACGGGGTTTTGGTCGATTTGAATTTTCTAATGACGGGATATTGAAAAATGTTGTGCAACCAATAGTTTTCTTTAGATTATACCAATAAAATAACGAAAAAACAAACTGGTAGTGTTTAAACGAACAGTGGGAACAACAGACCGATACCCCGTGAACATTTTCAGCGATAGTTATACTTGGAAATTAAAAACCTTAACAGTAAGTAGACTTGGTGCGTTTTGCTATATATATTTTTTTACAAATTGTTGTTGACTGATTCAAAGGTATTTCCTCTGTCAACCAAACAACTAAATCAGTCATTAATTAAACATATTTGATCGATCTTTTACTTTCGTTGACAGCGACGGTTACCCAACCGGTCCCGGAGTTATGTGAATGCGACTGTGTTTATTACGAAAAGCTCAACAAATGGCAGGAAAAGACCGAAAAGGAAAAAAAACGCAACATCAGCACCGAAGAAAAATTGGAGGAAGCAGAAACCGAACTGAAGAATACCCAGAAGAAACTGTCAGTGAACACATCCACGCTCTCGTCCACTGCCCGGAAGTTTGTTAGTGCTGAAGACAACCGCACTTCCGCTGTAGGTATAGGTTACTTTGGCGCTGCGTTTCTTGGCATCATCTTCGCCAGCATCGTTATGTGTGACTTGATTTCAATCAAACGCCATTGGCACAACGGAAAGACTGGTTCCTCTGTCAAGGTAGAGAAACGTCCCTAACAAAAGACAGATCAGTGTAGCCGATGACCGCGAAGTGTCTCGGAGGATCCTTTGTGGGGGAAAGTGTCTGACAAGTTTCCAAAGTTGTTTGTGTGATTAGGTATTTGTTAATTGTGAAAGGGCTCTTAGTGTTCCGTTCTGTTCTATTTTGATATCATAGTAGACATTTTTCGATCTCCATAGATTTATTAAGAACAAATATAAAGCAAAATAATTCTAAAATATTTTTTAAATAAAACTTGATACATTGTCTCTTCTTTACTGTTTACACATTTTTCAATACAAATGTGTTCCCCTAAATTTGTTTGCCATTGTTTTTCAATATTGCACAAATATTTGCACAGATGTTGTAAACGATATCATGCTGTGTTATCAAAGCGTCGTGACATCATGGTTTTACGTTTATTACATAACTACAACTGTTCTTTATATTGTATCTTGAAAACTTGGACCGAACAATACTAATGAAAGCCACATCGAGGTTGGAGTAATGATGTCACCTCACCGTAAAATGACGCTAAAATGTCCTGAACCCATTTTTATTTAAATCTGTCGATTTAATTATTGAATTTAAACCGAATACTTGCTGCTTAAACGCGATCTTACTACCTGGGTATTACAACATCTCGTATTATAGCTGTATTGAATATTGTACCAATTATTGCATGACCCGAAAACCTACTGTATCACTGCAATAAATGTACAACATCTACTATCTAGCGTGAGTTCCATGGCCAACGTGGGTATCACTAACGCCAGATCACAAAATGTGTAATACCATACGCTGTATAATGAGAGTCCAATACGAGTGTGAATCGATGTTATGATATCGCGATATAGCGTTATACCTATAAGTAACTCTTTCATATGGGCACGCGCCACTGAAATCTTAACGACATGCTAGTGTTCCGTTAATTCTATCTCGACAAGGTGCCCAGGAGGTTTTCCGAATTCATCAGTGGTGTGCCGAAAGCCATTATGATATTTTATGGAGAATATCACGAGATTTTCTCGGCAGTCTAGACATCAGTGCTCATTTTAAGTAAATTACAACTATGGCCGCCTCTCTGATGTTATTCTAAAACCGCCATCTGAACGCATTTAGGCACGCTCTGTTGTAAGCGCGCGCCGCACGAGGGCTGCGCGAGAGGTAAAGGTTAAAGTTGAAACATTTTTTTTTATCAATTTAAAAAGTATGGCTAACTTATCAAGTTAAGCGGCATTACAGAATCGAGAAGGGTACATGGTATCAATAACAATTCGAGCTCTTATCGACGGTAGCCTGCTCGTTACATACAAACTGGTGTAAAACTGCTGATAACAGGCGCTGTGTAATACACACCGCCAGTGTATAGAGATCATTTGGATTGTAAAATGGAATTGTAAAAATAACGACCACTGACAATGGGATTCAAAGTCTCCGTATAGACGCGGACGATTTATGGTAATGAGAGTCGTTAATAGTTTCTCTGGTGATATATTTGTGGGTTTCGAAAGCGACAAAATTGTGTGCTTACTTATTTGGTGAGTGGAATTTGAAAGAAAAGTAGAATGAAATTGTGACGAAGAACTAATCTGTGTAAGTTACTATGGAATACCTGTTAATTGGATATGTACACCTGTAGTAAGATGGAGAACCGAACGAACAGCACATTATATACTTAGAATCTTCTATCAAATCAGAGGTAAGTTAACATTCTTGGACTTGTCTTTTCTAATAATCGCTTTGGAGCAGAATGTTGCATATATACAGGTGTCGGGTACCTACATGTCGACTTTCTAATATTTGCGGCAAACATCGTGACGGGCGCCACTTGTGGTGCAGAGACACGTTTGTACTTCCGGGTCACAGAGTGTAGCCACACACTAAGTTTATTGACTTTCTGTTCCTGCTTTTATTTTGTTTCGTGCCAACTTCGAGTTCAAACACGGACAACCGGTTTTAGAGTACTGACTTTGTAGACAGGTTTGGAGGACAGTGTTTTTTAGTACCGTTTTAGTGTATGGTTATAGATAACTGGTTTTGGGGACCGAATATACATAACTGGTTTTGGGGACCGATTATAGATTACTGGTTTTGGAGACCGAATATAGATTAATGTTTTTTGGGAACGGATATAGATTACTGGTTTTGGGAACCGATTATACATAACTGGTTTTGGGGACCGATTATAGATTACTGGTTTTGGGGACCGATTATGGATTACTGGTTTTGGGGACCGATTATACATAACTGGTTTTGGGGACCGATTATACATAACTGGTTTTGGGGATCGATTATAGATTACTATTTTTGGAGACCGAATATAGATTACTTGTTTTTGGGAACAGATATAGAGTACTGGTTTTTGGAGACCGAATATAGAGTACTGGTTTTGGAGACCGATAATAGATTACTTGTTTTTGGGAACAGATATAGAGTACTGGTTTTTGGAGACCGAATATAGAGTACTGGTTTTGGGGACCGAATATAGAGTACTGGTTTTGGAGACCGATAATAGATTACTTGTTTTGGGGAACGAATATAAATAATTGGTTTTGAGGACCGAATATAGAATACAGGTTTTGGGGACCGATTATAGATTACTGGTTTTGGGGACCGAATATAGATTACTAGTTTTGGGGACCGAATATAGATTACTGTTTTTGGGGACCGAATATACATTACTGGTTTTGGGGACCGAATATACATTACTGGTTTTGGGGACCGAATATACATTACTGGTTTTGGGGACCGAATATAGATTACTGTTTTTGGGGACCGAATATAGATTACTGGTTTTGGGGACCGAATATAGATTACTGGTTTTGGGGACCGAATATAGAGTACTGGTTTGGATGACCAATTTTTGAGCAGTTGTTTTGAAAACCGAATTTTGGTACCAATTATGAAGTAGTGGTTTTGAGTACACAAACTTTGGGGACTGATTTCTTGCTCAAACATGGAGTTTGAGCTCAAATCAACTTTTTTTAAACTCGCTTAAATCATGCCAAACGATCGAAAAGTTAAATGTAAACGGTGAAAACAGTATTTGGCTTTAAGCATTCTCAATGTTTTATCCAAATCATTGACAAAGTAAGATTGTGAGATGTTTTATTAGTTTATTCCGGGAAATACGGCTTGAGCACAAAATCCATGCTCGAGCATGAGAATGGTTTATGAATACGGGCCCTGGCTTTGAGGGCCGACATTTCAGACTGACTTTAGAGTACTGGTTTCGAGGACCGACTTTGCGGGCCGATTCTAGTCGTTGATCTACACATACTTTACCGGGTTTTAGAGGAGGGTCTAGGACAAACGGAAAGATTTATACCATACAACCAGTACTAACATATCTAATAACAGTATCACAAGGGCTGATATAACGTCCGACCATTATTGTTAACCAATTTATTTGACTCGTCAAATTTTACGTCCCAAATATACCCATGAAGTCTATCCCTCACTCCTATTCCCTAAAACATAAACTCGTTATTGTGTCAAACTGGTTGACGAAAATGTGTTCATTTATGTCTTATTCGTTTTTTAAGACAGTCCTTTTTAGTTTGAAAGACTTGTTGTCCAATCAATTAAGTGTTTATTATAAACATAATAATAGATTTGACTTAAACGATACATGTCTATGCAGTTATTTAATAACAGGACGTTTTTGGTAAAAGTTAAACGTTTTACAAAAGATTTTTGTTATAGTATGTTAATTCGTTAAATAAAAGTGTTACGTATTTTTATACGTTAATAAGAAAGTATTTCTAGTGTGTTTTCATAAAAAAATGTGTAAAGCTAAGCTACATTTATGACGGGTTTTTGTCGGGGAATTGTAGTATGTTTATAGACAGTTTTTTAGTATACGAACGTTATAAGAAAGTATTCGTGTCGTGTTTTATCACGTTTAGTACAAGTTTATATAAAAAAAATATATACAAAGTGTATCATATTTCTTAGTAGGTTTTCTAAATCCAGTCCATACGGAAATGAAACAAAGTTGTTTTTCGTTTTATATTATATAAGCGAAGTAAAGAATTTTATATGAATCAGCTGCCAAACCATTAAAAATACGTTTCATACAAATGACACGTGCTGTTCGTATAGGTAAAAACATTGGTATCAAACCGTTATTTATCAGGTCCTGACGTCGGAGAGGCAGTATATCTTCATTAGGTCGACAACGTTATATGATGTGTGTCAAAACCTGGAAATTAGCCGTTTATATCTATAGTGATTGTTAGTTAACGTGTTAACACAGTGATAAACGCACTGTCAGCTTACTGAGATTGTACAGAGAAATCAAATATTAAATTCGTTTAAACAAACTTTACTGCATTTTTTGCAAATTGTCAACATGTTCTCCTACAAATGATAAATACACATTAAAGTACTGGTAGCTTGTGGAGATAGCCCTTTGTGTCAAAAACAGACGTGAAAAAGATTCGAGGGGTGGTCGGGTTGCGCAGTGGTGGCGCACTGGCTTCTCACCAACACGGCCGAAGGTTCGATTCCTATCGGAGGGAATGCTCGACCACGCGGATTTTCTTCAGGCACTCCGGGTTCCTTCCATATTTAGACCCTCTTCTCGCTTCCATCTGCCAGCATGAGTGATTAAAATAAGTTATTTATTTTATAATTGACGTAAAATCATATAAAGTTTATATTAAAATATTAAATTCGTTTAAACTTATTTTACTGCGACAATTTTTGCAACTTGTTTATGTGTTCTTCTGCTATGATTAATAAACATGATAAATACACGGCGAAATATTGTAATCTTGTCGAGATAACACATTACTGCCAATACCAGGCATGATGAGGATTCGATGTTTGATCATTGTTGGATAGTGACGATGCTAAGGGCACGACCAATTACAATAGAACTTTCCAAAGTTCGGTGCCTTTCCCATACAGTGTAGCCATGTTTTCTAGGGTTTATTTGATTTCTTTCTCTTAAACGTTCTGTGTAAAATACAGTAGTTCTTTTCGTTGTGTACTGTTTAATTAGTATCACCCAGGCCTTCTACACATTGACGGAATTAAATTTCATTTTATGTTTGAGAAATGTAAATAAGCTAACGATACTGACAGAGTACGTCACAATATACATATACCTCCCCGCTCACTGATAAAGTTAACTAACACCTCGTCATCTAAACCATTTAACATCTAAACCCCTCAGTAAACTCCAAGTACTGCAGTGTCAAGCGAAATATAATCCCTATACGTCACACATTTCTCCTTAAAGAAACCGTGTCAGATTGGACCTCTCTTTAGTGACATTCAAATCAAAAGGAATAGAAA